ATGAATTTTGAAGTCATCCTGAAATTAACTGTATTTGGGCCCTTTCAGACCGAGGAACCCTTTTCATGGAGAATATCATGCCAGCAGCTCCAGCTTCTGTATCTTTGGAAATCACAATAGTAGCTGTGTGGCAGGGGAAGAAGACACAAGAGAGTCTTGATTTGTTTCAGTTAAATAGCAGCAGCACCACCACCACCAAAATACAGCCATAAATTCTTACCTTCTATCCCAGGAGTTCATTCCTAAGTCATTTAACAATAACCTGCAGAAATAAAATGGTGCTTGTGGCTCAGCAGGACTTGGTTCTTCTTGATAAGCTATTTTCATATCAAGATCACAATCACATTTATATATATATTCTTTTTCTTGGGCACTCTGCCTTATTAGGGCTTCTATGATCTCATTCTCTTGGTCACAGTTCATACCAAATGGTGGAGGTGATGGCTCATTCAGTTTTCGCTGAGGATGTAAAAGGCATTCAGGACTAGTGCTACCAATCTTTTCCAGCAATGTGTCAAGAGCATCTTCTCCTTCTTCTACTTGAGCAACATCTGTCGGAGACTCAAATTGCTTCTCACGACTGCTTGAAATCACAAGTGAATTAATTCCATTTTGCCGTGGTAGACAGCCTTCCAAAGGTCCATATAATATCCTGCCATCCCAAGAATATTTCCCTGAGATATCTCTGACTATTACTCTTACATCTGAGGGAGCTCCTGCTGGCTCAGTCTCCAATCTCCTTTCTGCAGGAATTTGGAGGTAAGATATAAGACTACTGTCGTTAAATACAAATAATTGCAAGTTTGGACTTCGGAAGACTTCTGAAGACAGTTCAGAAGATTCCACGTACGAGTTCTCATGATTCTCACTTATAAGGCTATGCAGAATGGCAGGACCTCCACTAAGGGGATAGTGACCTAAGTGGTTTACTAGATGTGTCATAACCATCCGTGCAGTTAGAGGTATTAATTCCAAGCTTCTTCTTTTTTTTTCTGAAAGCAATCAATGAAAAGATACTAATGAGAAACAGTAGCAAACTGTAATTAAAATGTTTACCAGCAGATTTAAATCAATAAAAAGACACACTGGAGGCTGTTAGCCTATCTTGATTTTTCTCTCTTTTTTCCCTTTTAAATCGTCTCTTTTTTGGTTACAGAAACTTTTAACAAACAATATACAAGGTCTTACATTTCTTCAGAAATAAACTTTACATTTCAAATGTCATTTTCTTCTATTTTACAATTCCAATCATTTGCCTCACAATGTAATTTCCTGCACATGCACTGATTTCAAAGATACTGAAGCGTGAGAAAAATTAGCAACAAGGATCTGGGTGAAGAGATGCACTTAAAAGAATCTAAAATATCTTATCCTCCATTCTTTAATAAATCATATTTTCCTTTGACTGAATTAGTCTTCTTGCAATCACAAAGTCTCTTGGGACACTGACATGTTAGGAATCTGACTGATGAAAAACATCACTGACAAATACAGTTTTGTAGGCCATTGAGGTTCTGAAAGAAACTTGAAAAATATTAGACTATCATAATCACCAATCAGATGTGAATTTGAACAGAAGATTTCTTGCTCCTGCTGACACAAGTAATCAGAAAAAAAACCTCAGC